CTGGAAGTACAGAGTATGACTCGCGATTCAAGTGGGTGCCCTCCCCCTTCTACCGACAGCACTGGTTCCAGATGAGACTGGTCGAGAGAGCAAAGAGTAAGTCAAACTGAATTTTGCATCTTCAGAAAGCTACTTTTTAGTCGGCACCCAACCTCTGTGAGCTCCCAAGGCCTTTGTGCTAAAATGGGGAGCCATTTACAAGGCTTCATAGATGTACTGTTCATTGACATCCAAAATCGCTTTTAAATGTTAGCCTGAACAAGGAGGTATTTAACCTCCTTGGTCTGAACAGAGTGGTTGTGTGAGTTCGCGCGGCAAGACTGATAGAAAGTAAATACATGAAACAGACCCTGGATATAACTAGAAAGGCCAATATTTGCTTTGGAGCAAATACAGCGATGGGTTCACCACATTTTACCACATGGCAGGGAAAGAATGAGAAACACAAGGGAAAACAATGATTTACATTGATATAACTATAATATGAAGTAACATACAACTAAAACAACAGTTGGATAGCTATTCCCTACTTTATTGGTTAGGATTTTTAATTGCATAATGCAAACTGTTGATTTTCAAAATAAAAAAAAACCTTCATGCCCCGCATTCCAATGCTGGAGCAGAAAAGCTTGAAATACCTACCAAAACACTTGAATAAAGACATACTGTCAGTATGGAAATACTCTGTGCAGGTGTTAATCAAGTTAAATCCCAACAGCCAATCAGCAAGAAATGCTCTGAGCAGGTGGAAATGCTCAGTGTGCAGGTGTTAATCAAGTTAAATTCCAACAGCCAATCAGCAAGAAGTATAGAGGAAAGCTGCATGCGTATTGGTTGATGCCCTGCATTCCATTGTAATGACTCATGCCCAGACGTGGTAAACATGGCACACTAACACAGTAATACATTAGCTATAATACAGCCAAAAAACTCAAATAAAACCATTCTAAAAGCCTGTATCACAATAATTTAAAAAACGCCTAGGGGTATTTGCCCACTGTACCTCCATACCAAATTTCAGGACCTTAGGCCCTAAAATGAAGAAGCTGAATCCATTTAAAAAATGGCAGGAGAAGGAGAAGGAGGAGAAGGAGGAGAAGAAACATCAGAAAAAGCAATATGGTTTCACCACACCACTTCGTGGTGTGGTGAACCCATAAATAGTTTTCCATTGTTACTTCACATAAAATGACATAGTAAAATGCCTTGTGGAATTTAACAGAAAGGTAAATTGTTGTGAATAGAACAAAACACCAGGGAAGCTGATGTCTCTCTTTTATTCTCCTTATTAAGATCCTCCACGGCATCCTTGGTCACCTTCCACGGTAGTGGAGTCCGTTCAGGATGGAGCACCTGCTGCTATGACGTCACCTGCTGAACAGGCTGTGCCGCCAGACGTCGCTGTGTCTGGTTCTGCGGGACCGGCCACGCCGCCAAAGGTCGCTTTTGTGGCAGCTCCCACTGTGATCGCCACGCCACAGGAAGTGGCGGTGGCTGCGCAGAGGTGTTCAACGTAGCGACAATGCTACAAACAACCTGCAATTTTTTTTGAAAAGGATCATGTATCTTTCTGAGACCAAGAGAGTTAGCTGCCACTCCAAAACCATGACCGTAACATGTCCAGAACGAGCTATAACATGAGATATCAAAAACTGACACAATACCATCGAAATCCGCAAGCTAGTCCATAATTGAATGTTACCTTTTTTGCTGACTCCTCAACACACGCCTTCTGAAGTTATGCTGTCCACTCTCACTGAAAAGCATTGGCTATTGTTCTAACAATATTCCCAGAAATAAAAGTCTTTAGGTACTTCCTATCTTTCCCTACAATTTTACTTAGCAAAAAAAAAACATGGGCGCAGTTTTAGACTTGAGTTTTTTTTGTCGGTATTCAGTCATTCTTGTTGTTGTTGTTGTTAGTTGTTGTATTTACACTTGGACATTAAAGTTGAATGGAACAAATATTTCGTAAAGGCCAATATTCTTGATTGTTTTTACTCATGTCCACAATGTTAAGGCATTTTTTAATCCGTGACCATAGGCCCTGACTGACTAATACCCTGTGGGGTATTATTTCCACAGGTGCGGATATCCACACACATCTTCATCCTAGGCTAGCATCAAGACCGGCTTTCACTACTGGTATTCAGCAGGAGCGCTAGCGGCTCATAACATGAGACACGAAAACCGGTTCTACTGCAGTTCCACGGAAAACATAACCTTTTTGGCAAAGGAAAATACACAAAAGCAGGTCAAATACCAGTTGCTATGGTGATAGATAACAGATGTTGACAGCCAAGTTGTACATGTAGACACGGTTGTCATTCAACCCGCAAAGTGTCATCTCCCAGGTGACGTTTCATCACTGCAAACCATCACTGACACGACATTAGACACCAGAGTGCACGCGGTGTAATATACAGGTGACATCGCTCGCCTGTATAAAGCAATAAAACAGAAGAATGCCATCCTTTTCATCGGAGGCACCGTAAATTGCACGGTTGACGGCGTCCCCAGGAGACCGTTTCCACTCTGCCGAGCATCCTGCCTTTGGGCCACGCCGTAAAAGCCACTTCCAGTCACCCAAAAATCGTCCTGAATAATTCAGAAGTACATTCTATTGTAGTGGGGTTTTTGGTTAGTTGGGCAAACGTCTTGTCATGTGTTAATAAACATCGTATTGTAACGGCTTTACTGGACAAAGGGGAATCATCATGGCGTTGTCAAAAGTCGATCGAACAATATTCACACCTGTCAGAGGTGGTAGGTGTATAATGATCTAGCACACCTGTAAGGTCATAGAATGAAGGAACGATGGCGTCTTACTCCAACAGAGGGTTGTTGCACAGTGTCTTCTCAAGAACAAGAGGAGACGTAGAACGTCGTAATTTTCGCCATGAGGGGGATAGACAGGTCCAATAAGGGTGAACTAAGAGCGGAAACTGGCACACTAAAGTTTCAGATATATGGCAGGGATGTGTTATAGCATTTGAGTGGCTGAAACACAAACAATAGACGCAACTCTGCTGGAGGATAAACATCTACTTGTGTTAGAGGACAGCAGGTTACGTGATTTGCTCCCAAGGTAACTACCTGTAGGAGATGCTACAATACAAGCTTAGTTTTATCTAATTGTGAGGTCTTTCAACAGACACAAACAAAGGTGACACATAAAGTTACGTTGTCATGGGTATGGGACTTGAGACACGGCAAGAAAAGCAGAAAAGAGTCTTATCTCGGGCCTTTAATTAACAAGATCTACAAACAATTTCAACTACATGACATTGTAAATACAACAAGTGTATTCTTATATTTCTTAGCTTATTTATGCATTTATTTGTTATATTTACCAATGGTAAATATCAATACAAAAAAATCGGCTACATTTTTGCCACGAAACACACCACAACAAATGCTGATGCAGGCCTAGTGTAACCATAAAAAGATAAGCTTGTTACATGTCGCTGAAAGGGAAGATGACAGATAGATACCGCACTGTGACCAAGCCACCCACCAGTTATTACGTGGTAGTGATAGATACATATGACCTGTTGTGTTGTGATATCAACTCAAAGCCACTCCTGGCGTTGCTATAGCGACAAGTCTAATGACAACGCAACCACGTGACCGTCGTCATCCGTTTGTAAGGACCTACAAGACGCAGAAATTGATATTCATAAATAATGAGGAGCACAATTTGATCCAAGGTGACACGTCATCCGTGAAATAGGAAGGACCAATTTTCAAAGTCTAAGTCAGTTCGCTGTTCTATAGCACTGCATAAGCGACATTTTGGACACCTATTTAGTACTTATGACTCTCTCATATTTTTTACGACATTCTGTTCCGTACGATCATGATGATAAATATTACAATATACACACAGAAGAGATTCTCTAACTGTCATAATTTCGCATTTCATTTTTTAACATTACTCATATAGACATAGTGTAATGTATTCTATTGTAGTTCAAAAAGAAACAAATCATTTTGTTCTTTGCAGTCTACAGGCACATCTATTATACAAACTAGTATTCATTGAGCCGGAAATGTCAATAACCAAAAATAAGAATAAGTAAGAAAAGGGTAAAGTTGGGTTGAGAACTTGTCTTTCCCGTGTAGGTTGGGAGCAATCAACTTAGAATAGCCGGCCTAGTCGATCAGAACAAAACGCTGTCCTCGCGACCATCACGTGGCCTTGGCTGCCAACAGGCTGTCGCCTATCCTTAAAGGAACTTTGGTCGTGAAATATTCATGAGTCCCGCCGGTTGCCATCAAATTTTAATCCTTGTCCCCTCCACGTACGTGCGGTGGGAAAATTGGGTACCAAGGAGACCAACTGTCAACACAAATGTGCATTTAAGGGCGACGGTCAGAGCCACCTTGTCCAGACCAACAGTGGGTGTACGTCAGACAGAGACCGACTTTGGAAGGGAACATTGTCTGTTTCTTTGCCCTATCCTCTCTGTGACTGTGAACTGAGAGAAGTCATCGGTCATGTTCGGTACAGCGAGAAGCGGTTACAACCCGTTCCCGGGGATGGGCCCACCCAGGCCCGTCATACACCACATGTTGACACCTGCCGCCACTAGGAGACTGTCATCGGTAAGGTTCTCCACTCAAATATCAGATAAATCCTCTTCTGGAAGCTTCCATGTTTTTCATATTTAAAAAATCTCCCTTTGAAGCTTCTGTGTTTTTCAAGTAGACTCTAAGAGTCAGCTTCTTGGTCATTGCTATAATTCTTTATGCTGAAATGGACCAGACAACAGACTGCCAAAAGTATAAACGCTTTTGCCCTCTGCGAAATGTGTTCCTTAAGCTCAAGGATATTATTGTTAGAAACCTCTTTTTTTGTTGTGCCCCAGTAGCACTTCAAAGGTGGTGTAAAGCATTTTTCTCCGTTCATGCATCTTAGCCGGCCGTCAGTTCCTTTTTTATTCAACTTGTATCAACTTGTTCTATTCAACTACCTGATGCGTTGGATATCATTACACTTACACCATGTGTAAAAACGACACATTTGAGGTTTTTTCATACATACTATTTTCCTCAATGATTTAAAACTACAAATGTATTTCTTGAATCTGAAATGGTCATTAGTTTTCAAGCGAAGAGTACCAGTTGAGTTGCTATAGCGTTGCTATAGTTACATTGTCCACTGTTTTCCTTTCAATCGCCTGTTGCTATTGTTCCACTGTCCATATTCTTGTTTTGGGCAATGTATGGAATCTATACTAATAATATATGTATATTCAACGTTACCATCATTTTCAAACCTACCTTTGTGTGATGATGAGAATGTTGGTAACGAGACTCCAACCCGTAGGCGGGGGACAACAATGGGGCGTTGCTAGGCGACCAAACTCACGGGAATGCAATTAAGGCCCTGAACAACGTGTCATGTTGTAAGCATTACTCCCGGGTGTCACGTCAACAATCCAGGGACAACGGGGGAAGAATGAGGGAAAATTTGAGAATATTGCAATTAGAATACTATTGACTATTCCACAGCGACGTCCAACAATGTAAACGTTAGTACACGTAATTACCTTTGAGGAGGAAAGGCTGTGCTCGTAGAAGATATTTGGCTTGTGAGTAGATTTTGACAAAACAAATGCATTTCATATCGGCTTTGTATACTTCCAATTGTAGTATCTCAGGTTCTGAACTTGCCATATGCATGATCGCGAGTAGTTTTTATGCTGGAAACTCTAATGGCTTCCTGTGGAACTGCAGGCTTGTTTTTCATGCTTGACTGCCAAAACTCTCTTCTCGTTTACATTCGTATATGAAACTTTCTCCCACAGTCTGCCGACCTACCGAAGTGGGCCCGAAGCCGAGCTAACTCTGCCGACAGTGGAATACAAGTTGACGCCGCCCTGCCGGCCTCCACGCAGATGCACCACAGACGAACACTGCCTGGTCCAGAGCTAACATCAACAACACGATGGCACAGTACTAGTCTGGAACCAATCAACAGCGGTAAGACAGAAGGCGCGACTCAGTTTGTGTAGTATCATACCATTTATGAACATTTTAAGATGCAAACTTTGATTCTAGTGAGAATAATATTTCAATATCTATCAGTTACCATTAAATATCAAAACATTTCATTTCATTCCTTTCATTTCAACAAGTTTCTGTATTATTCGGATCCGTGGTATATACTTTTCTTTTGAAATATCCATCTGCTACGGTGTACTTTTGTTTGTAAAAATGTGATGAACATGTCTGACGCTGGAGAAGAAACATTGTTTGAAGACGGAAGTATGATGACTAATCATGATGACTGCAAGTCACGCGTACATAAACGTTAAAGTACCCCACCTACAAAGGACGCTTCCATGCAAAGGACATCGTTAATCCAATCTTAACCTTTGATAGCCGACCTCATTAATTATTCACCCGTTGATAAGCGGCATGACTAGTGAAGTGACCTTCGTGTTTCCCTCCTCACAGCGAGACCGGACACCTCAGGGAGTGCCTTTCTTCAACAGGACAACAAGGTACGGAAAAAACACACAACACTTGTAATAATAAAGGTCAAATAAATGCTGACATGGACATCCAGGGACTTCTATTAAGACTTGTCAAAGGGTAGAAATTGGACGAACGCGACGGAGTGCGTCCATTTGTTGCACAGTAACATCTAACGCCAACTCATAATTTTTCCCAAGAATTTACCACATTAAAAACGGTGAATTGAAAATTAAAGCAGCGTCGGTAATCCCTAAGTATGTACACTTCAGCAATCGGGTGTTCAAAACATTCTTGAGAAGGCCGTGAAGAACATCTTTATTTTTAATACGGTGGTCTTAGAGTAGCCTGCTGAGTTATGAGGGTTGGCGTACAGTAGCATGTCCGACCTGTCCATGGTGCTGAACCGCTTGCTGTTGATATCTGGGGTGTTTTCATCTCACCGCGATTTGAATATTTCCATCCCATTCACCCACGTCTGTTTGTTCTGTGTTATACATAGCTTCATCAGTCCATGGAATATGAAAAGATGGAATCAGTGACAAGGAATGGCGGAGTCAGCCCAAGCTACGCACCCCTGCCGCCTGTCCAACAACAGCCTGTGTTCGAACCTCCCATGGATTCCACACAACGGCAGGCGGCGAGCAACGACGCAGACCAGGTTCCCCGTGAAAGTGCGCCTGCTGAAACTGGCAATACAGCTGAAGCTGGGGATGATCTTCGTCCATGGAGGGCCCCTGGCGAGACCGACATCTTCAACAAACGCGCAGGTAAAGACTGAAGGGACAATAAGCTTTTCTTGGACTGCATGCGTGTTGTTGTTGTTTTTGCTGGAGACTGTGAAACATAATAACTGATTTTTCTTATACCGTCAAAGCTATTGTTATAAAGAAGGGCAACAAGGCTAAGGGTAGATATTCACGACATGTCTCTATATTGTCGTCTCACAGTTTTCGGGGTAGTGCCATTCGTTCCCCAGCCCAAGTCCGAACGCCCAGCGGCGGAGTCTCCCCGGCGCGCCGTGTCGGCCAGTCCGCGGCAGACAGCGGACAGGGATGACGGTCTGACGGCTGATCAGGAACCGGCACCGTTGGATCCCCCTCCATGGAGGAATCCTGGCGAGACTGACATCTTCAACAGAGGCGCAGGTAACGTGAGAAAGAATAATGCTCAGCGAATCAGATGCCGTATTGGATATTTATCATGAGACTGTAATATCATTGACCTTGCTGTTGTGGTTTATTCGGTGGTTATAGTAACCGAGCAGATCTTATGCTACCATATGCAGTTCAGATCAGGGCATTAACTCGAAAAAAGAAGGTCGTAGTGGTGATTGTTGCTAATATGCAATGTCTGCCCTTTTCCATCCAACAGTTTTCGGGGTAGTGCCGTTTGTTCCCCAGCCCAAGTCCGAACGCCCAGCGGCGGAGTCTCCCCGGCGCGCCGTGTCGGCCAGTCCGCGGCAGACAGCGGACAGGGATGACGGTCTGACGGCTAATCAGGAACCGGCACCGTTGGATCCTCCTCCATGGAGAAATCCTGGCGAGACTGACATCTTCAACCGGGGAGCAGGTATTATTGAAAGTTCACTAATGTTGGTAGGGTTTAATCTGAAGCACAATAACTTCCAGTACGACGTGAAAATGAGACCTACCGGTTACATAGATTTTTGACAGGACGACACCAGTATCTGTGAAGGAATGAATATATAACAGCACTTCTCTGATGTAGATGTCTTCTTTTATTCCTCTTGCAAAACGTTTACCACAGTTGTTTCATGACGATCCTTTCCTTCCCATTTCATCATAGTTTTCGGTGTCGTGAGATCAGTTCCTCAGCCAAGGTTTGACCAGCCCGAAGACACCAAACTGGCCAAACCTGCCTCTCCTAAGGACAGGGACGATCACACAGCTGGTCAGCAAACAAACGAACCTGGTGAACCCAAAATATGGAGAGGTTCTGAGACCACCAATTTCAACAAAGGCGCAAGTAAGTGCTGGTAATAAGTGGATTTGTGAGTGTGTGTGTGTGTCTGTCTGTCTGTTTATATTGGTTTGTGTACTTGAATAGACATCTCTATATGCATGTGTATTTCTAAAACTGTTTCCTTTCCCCACAGTGTTTCACGTTGTTCAGTCCGTCAAACAACCGGATTTCCAGCGGGAAACTGACAACCCTCAGAGCGCGAAACACCCAGACCAGACCGGCGGAGATCGTGGCTACAGGGAGGAAACACAACAGGCCTTCGGTGACATCCAACCAGCACAGGCCCCTGTCGTCTGGAAGGGTGCGGAGACTGGCAACTTCAACAAGGGCGCCAGTAAGTATAACAAATCTTTTCACTTGATTATAACCTGGCCACTAGTCTCTCTCGGAGCTATAGGCTTAGTTTCTTCGGCATTGTGAGGCTCTATGAAGGAATATGCAACACCACTTAATGTAGATAATGCAAACACTTGACTCGATGAGCATTGGATCATTAGTTGCATAAAGTTTGTGGCATTTATTGCGTGTGTGAGAGAGAGAGAAATAATTTCTAAAACTGTTTCCTTTCCCCACAGTGTTTCACGTTGTTCAGTCCGTTCCACAACCGAATTTCCAGCGGGAAACTGACAACCCTCAGAGCGCGAAACACCCAGACCAGACCGGCGGTGATCGTGGCTACGTATACAGGCAGGAAACGCAAGAAGCAGCGACCGACATCCAACCAGCACAGGCCCCTGTCGTCTGGAAGGGTGCGGAGACTGGCAACTTCAACAAGGGCGCCAGTAAGTACAAATGATCTTTTCACTTGATTATAACCTGGTCACTAGTCTCTCTCAGGGCTACAGGCTTAGTTTCTATGGCACTGTAATTATGAATTCATTTGACTCGATGAGCAGTGGATCATTGTTGCAGAAAGTCAAAGTATGTGGCATCCCCGTCTCTATTCAGGTATAGCTGTAAGCTCTCTGATGTATATGTCTTCTTTTATTTCTTCTCTCTCTCCCTCTGTGTGTGTGTCTGTGTATGTGTGTGTCTGTCTGTCTGTCGGTCATGGTTTGTGCGTTTAAATAGATGACACTACACATATCTAAAATTGTTTCCTTTATCCGCAGTGTTTCACGTTGTTCAGTCCGTTCCACAACCGGATTTCCAGCGGGAAACTGACAACCCTCAGAGCGCGAAACACCCAGACCAGACCGGCGGTGATCGTGGCTACAAGCAGGAAACGCAAGAAGCAGCGACCGACATCCAACCAGCACAGGCCCCTGTCGTCTGGAAGGGTGCGGAGACTGGCAACTTCAACAAGGGCGCCAGTAAGTATAATAGATCTTTTCACTTGATTATAACCTGGTCACTAGTCTCTCTCGGAGGTATAGGCTAATTAGTTTCTTCGGCATTGTGAGGTTCTATGAAGAAATATACAACACCACTTAATGTAGATAATGCAAACACTTGATCTTTTTCACATTTTGATTTTGTACGCCCTGGCAACAGTCTGGATTCCAGGCTAACACGTGCATATCCATACCATGGTGCTCGTGATTTCCTGATATTGCTGTATTGGAAATACATGTACAGTAGCATGTATTTTATGGTATGGAAGATATAGCCATTGTTTCATAAAAATCGCAAGCCCTAACCTCACTAAACACGATTTCAAGTATAATAATCATTATATTGCAATTGCCACCAAGTTTTCAACTGTAGGATACCAGTCTGTCTCAAGGAATATAACGTAAATGGTAAATGGTGGATCAAATGTAGGAGATGTTTGTAGCGTCCCCCGTCACTACTCAGGGATGATTGTTGGGCCCTGATGCATTTTGCTTCTCATTTCGACAGTGTTCCATGTCGTGTCGAGCGTTCCCCAGCCGACATTCAGCAAAAATATGGACAACAGTGAGCCTGACCCCAGGGCGACTGGACAGGACGGAGTGGACGCCACCCAAGGACACAACAAAGCCGACGTCCGGCCGCCGAGTCAGCACGTTCACTGGAGGGGAGCAGAGACTACAAACTTCAACAACGGGGCGGGTGAGTTTTTTTTTTAAAGCCGCCGTATTATAGTATTTAGCTCGGTTTGAAAACGGTCTATCTTCACCCTTTTTGCCATATGTATTATAAAACTCAAATCACTATAATGATAAAAGTTATTACTAGTACTTGTTGAATTATATAACGCGGCCACTTTTTTCGCGACAGTTTTCAATACAGTTCAGTCCGTTCCACCGCCTCGATACATGGAGAGGTCTACCCAGGAACAGGGGAAACTTGGCGAGGGCAGTACCAAAACTGCTGAAGGAAAGGAAAACGTTATAACATCTCCAGAGACTGCACGGGAGCAGGGACAAGAAACACATGTCTACAACAGGGGAGCAGGTGAGACCATTTTCTATTTCAATAAATTCCAAAGCAGGCATGTATTTGAATTGGTTGCAGCTAAAGTATACATAGCCTTTTTCTATTCTACCTGCAAGTTCGTAAGTATTCTACTGATATCCTAAACTTGGGATTGTGGTTATTTCAGAGGGTAAAATGGTCTATAGGTGTTCGAAAACATATTGAGCTACTGTTCATTGAAATGGAACTAGCTGTGTCCGCCTTCAGGTCATTGTCCTCATGACGTTGCTTGAAAACGCTCCTGTTAATATTTTTTTAAATCAATACAAGATGAGTCTGATGTAAGCACCATTTATATGTTGATTCTTAGTTGAAAGTTGACATGCAAACCAAATTCACATCTAGGTCAACTTTAAAAAATACAGCACATTAGAATACCATTAATCATAATGTAGACCTTAACTCATTAATAATGCAGAGATATGTGCTAATAGCCTAGTCTAATTGTCTGTCGCGGTCTATTCATGCCAGCATAAATACTAGGTATCACGTAAAACGTTTGAAAAGAAGTAGGACATGGGAAGATTTCTAAACGCTATTTTATTGTTAAAAATGTGTCAATTTCATAATTACGAATCCTCTGGGTTAACCTACATCTCATTCTTGCAGTAGTAGAGGAGGAGCAGACCAAACCTACACATCAGGGTGGTTCTGCAGCCGTGCCGCCTGTGACACCACGTGCATGGGCCGGGAGGAGTGCACATGGCAGGGACACCAGCCGTCCTGTCCTGGAGCCACTCAGGCCAACACAGCCGGCAACTGGTAAGTGTGCTTCTCGTCTCAATGGCACTTCATATGTCGCTCAACCAGGCAAATAGGTTAAAATGGATGTTTTGGAAATGGCAGACTTCATAGTCACCCTGGAAGCAACAACATTTTTGTATCTTTACGTGCCCCTGTCGACGTCCTGTAATATGTTAGCCGCCATACACTACTGTGTATGTCACTCAGCTACTCTTTTTATTTGTTCATAGTAATTCCACTTATTCTATCTTTACTTTGTGGGGTTATTTTGGTTAAACGTTTGAATGTTTCAGGAATTTTTAAAGTCTCTAGTTTAAGGTCTGACAAACTACTTACCGTCGTTGGCGTGTCAACAGGAGCTAAACGGCCGCCAACAAAATGGACGACGTCGTATTCCGGCCCACCCTCCAGCGGCAGGGGCATCCTCAGGACCATGAACGATAACGTAACGGGACCTCCGGCCGGGAGAAGCAGCCCTGAGTCCAAACTGCCCAGGCTTGACTCCGCGGGAAAGCCGAGGGACAGCAGCTCTAGACTGAGGCGGAGCAGATACGGCAGTGCTGGTGAGTTAGGCCCGATTTACACTAGCAAAATGACTATCTGTCGCACGATAAGTATGGTACGAAAGGTACGCCAGTTTTTCCCTTTATACTTTCAGCTAGGAGAAAAAAAAGCGATAAGCTTCACCTACATATGAGTTCGGTTGTGTTACCTTTAACTAAGTATAACATTAGTTAACCTCTTCCATGCACAGGCGGTGGTCTGACGGCCGTGGACGACACAGTGCCTCTACCCGAACCTTCGCGACAGGCCCCGTTGACCAAGGCTGTCCGACTGAGGCGAGCAGTCGACCTGCCCAACGCCAGATGCCTGTTCAATGTGGAAGGGAGCGGCTCGGATCCATGGAAGGCGGGTATGATATATGGCCATTCTCCCCCAATATCCTGTATACCTTTTGTCTCCTTCAATGCCGCCCATATCTTCTCATTTTCTTCATTTCCTTTCTCAAAACGTATCCTTTATCCATCTCAATATTTACAGCCACTCTACCGCCTGAATACAAAGGGGTAATTGTTAATGTGTATCGAATTTTTGTCTTTTCTACAGGACGCCACTCAAAGGGCAAAAGGCCGTTCCCAAAGTCAGAGTACGTCTCGTCCTTCCAGAGGTGGTTCCCGTCCCGCCACTACCAGGGCACCAAGTCGGCCTGGGCCCACCGGGCAGGCAGCGCCAACTCCGAACGCGGCTTCGCCCAACCCTTGCCCGACATCGGCGGCCGTAACGCGTGATTCTGCGACATCAGCGCTGTCTAAATATCAGACCACAAAAGACGCTGTTTCTCGCAACGCAATCAGCATAGACATTGATTTCCTCAAGGGCCGTGTTAATATCTCTGTCCCACTGAATAAAAAAACGCAGTAATGTGTTTTCAAAATGTTTGAATGGGTTTGGGGTAGAATTACAAGGTCAACTTCGAAATGCAATAATGTTTCTAATGTTTCTAATCTTACAATCTAAAGAGGAGAAAAGTAGGTCATTTCGTCCTCATTCTCAGTGAGTCGAGCTTGCCACGGGCATTTCTGACTTTGGGAGAAAAGCTGTTTCAATCCTATTCATGTCACCCGTAAGCTTGAAGTTGCCTTTGGGTCTTTTACGTGGTTACAATTTAGCAATAAAAATCAAGCCTGATAACATGCTGTATTAGGCAATTTGAATGGATTGGACAGAAGCCTCCATTTTTCCACCACCTTTTTGCGACAAATGTTTACTAATAATTAGTAGGTGATCGGAAAAGGATTCAATACCCGGCAAAATCAGCACACATTTTGTTAACATAATACATATACTCACGAAAGAGGCTATACGAAATGTGGTTAGAATTGTTGTAATAGTTCGCCAATGTTATGTGACAAGTTCCAATAGAGACACATCTACGTCTTATCAAAGCATGTTTTTCAACACTTTTAAACGTTTAGTATTGTAAAGTTATATATGGTGACTTGTCGTCCAGATTTTCTAACTTTATACTTGTCCCTTATGTTTCATGTGCGTACTCGTTTTCTTGAATCAACCATTTGCATGCTACGTGTATTGGTGCAATAAATGTATTTAGCATCAGATGAATATTGATATTATAACCTGAGAAAAATCTGTCAATATTTGAATCAATGTTATCAAGCTTGATGATTTTGCAAGAAAGTGACAATATCAAGGCATATCATGTACAACACTATCGTACATAGTTTTGCATCTATTAAGCATTCACATTGATCAGTGAAATGTCTGACTTAGTGTGCCATCAAATCATGCGAACGGAACTGTCTGAAATATCAGTTCAAATGGAGTCACAAAATATCACATTTGATACTTGTAGCCTGTCTACTCTTCTGTGGTGATTTTGAATACAAATACTGTACATGAACTAAAGAAATCTTGAACGCCTCATGCATCCATTGTTTTTCACTTGTTGTAGTAGTTTAGACCTTTATGTCGTTAATTCCTCAACTCAACGTTCAGCCGCTAATTGTTCAGTGCTTTGCACACACCGCTGCATTCCCTATCATAGACTTATCTGCAGTACCGCTCCCGACCGCCGCGCCCGCGAAAATGGGCAAAACAGTCCAAAAGTTTCTGTTAATTGTCACGCAGTCAACGGCTACCACGTCCAAATTTCAATCCTGTTTTGCCAAATAAGAAGTTGTTGAGCTAAAGCGGCTGAATTTTCATCCACTTGCCAAATAGACCCAATATTCCTGTTAAATTGCTGTAAGGCCATGTTGATTTGATTATATGGATGACATCCTCCGGGAACCCCAAAACTGATGCGCGCGTGCGAATAAAAAAAAAAAGTTTTGCAAAAAAAAGTTGCTTTCACTATGAAATCTACGTGGTCATGAAGGTTGAACAAATGGCACAGAATATGTTATGGCAAATAATCTACTCTTCGAATTCATTTCTTTACATTTTTGTCTTTTTTCCTTTGATTTTGGCATTCTACGACATTGGTATCGTTTCTAAATGTTTTCCTTGCAACTTATGGTATATTTTTGCTTATTTAGCAACTGTTTTGCACGATTTACAGTATGGTTGAAAAACTTTTTTTTTTTGAAACGGCCGAAAATTCATGCGCGCGCGGATGTCATCCATATAATCAAATCAACATGGCCTAAATTATGCTGATTATTTGACGGTGCAATATACCCTTGCTCGTTGGAGGGAGCCACTAGCTTGATGGGCTGACTATGAAGATGAGGTTTTACCCTGGAGCTCCTGTCACACATTCGCGACTTCCCCCCAAATTTGTTGCCGAACACCAGCCGGCCAGGTTCGGCTGACGCTCGGGAACACTAGGTCAGATTTAGGCCACGCCTACCTTTCTATACGAATCAAAACGAATTTGAGTTAAATTTGAGTCAAATTTGACTCCCAAACACGCACCGAACACTGCCGAGTGCTGACTAACTCCCGATTGTTCAGCCGGTGTTCTGCTGACTTATAGTCGAATTCCAGCCAACCATGGTCAAACCTCCCGACCATTGTTTTATAAGAAAAACGGAAAGGCTAGAGAAGAGGTTGAGGTGCCCGGCCTGCAGCGGTTCCAAACACCGCCACATCCCAGAAAATCGTCACGGATGGGACCTCCATTCCAACTGACTTATTACCTCAACTTCGTCGAGAAGGATGCGTTAGGTACACCGTGCACCATGCATGGGGAGCGGTGCATGTATTGTTGATATTTGGTAGGTAGGTTGGGGATTGGACAACAAAGGTCAAGGTCAATTATTGGTAATGTAGTTATTACTTATTGTTCTGTTTATGATCGCCATCATGGAATTTTGATATTTTGAAATTCACTGTTATTTGCGTCTAAGATACATGGGGAAATATTCAATGTATAAGTAATCACTTGTTTTAGTTGACAGGGCCACACTGATGACATGATTATATATCATGGCTTATTTCATTTGTCACTGAGAGGTTTGTTGGGGATCAGACTTTTCATTGGTCGGATCAAGAAGGTTTCAGTCCTTAGTCGGATTCAGCTTGCATCGTCGTGGTAATAAACGGAAATGAAGTCATCAATTATTATTA